GCCCTCCTCTGGACCCGCTCCGACAGGTTCATGTCCTGCTTGTACTGGGAGCTCCAGAGCTGAATGCGGTATTCCAGGTGGGGTCTCACGAGAGCAGAGTAGAGGGGCAGAATCACCTCCCTCAACCTGCTGGTCACAGTGCTTTTCATGCAGCCCAGGATACAGCCGGCTTTCTGGGCTGCCAGCGCACATTGCTGGTTCACGTCCAATTTTTCATCCACCAGGATCCCCAAGTCATTCTCTGCAGGGCTGCTCTCAATCCATTCACCCCTCAGTCTGTATTAATACCAGAGGTTGCCGCAACCCATGTGCAGGACCTTGCACTTGGCCTTGTTGAACCTCTTGAGGTTCATATTAAATTATTTTTAAAAATTAACTGGTTCCTAATATAATATGTTAAAGCTCTTAAACACAGTAAAAATCAATCTACTTCTGAAGTAAAGCAGTGAAACTGTGTGCAGAACACTATCAAGGAGCACAGTAGCTAACTGAAAAAAAAAAAATATCAGCTAGTTTCAATTAGACTTATGTATGTATTACTTGTAGATAAATCTACAACACAATTTTCCACATAGAAATATTTTCAAGACCTAACTGTCTCTTTGATTTGAAAGGCTATACTGACTATCAAATGATGAAAATAGAGGAAATCCTACACATAATTGCTTCTTTCAATATTAAAATATTTGTCTAATTGAGTTCTTCCATAAATTGAGTTATTTTTATTACAAAATGATGGCAATAAAGAAAGGGGAAAATAAAACAAGTAAAAGGTATGTCCAAATTCTCTGAATCAGATACTTGTAGCTTCTCTTCTGTACTCCCACAGAATTGGTTTGGATACTATACATAAATTATGGAAAAACGCATTCATTGCATGCAAATCAAATACTGGAAAAAAAGATCATTCATAAATGCCTATTGAACCAATTGAAATTATCACATCTCCGTCCTTATCTTGTATTTCTAATTAACAGAAAAAAATGGAACTATCTAAACAATAGCATATGGCAAAAACGAAAAGCAAGAAACAATTCATCAACCTCATGTTAATTCAATGGGGATGAAATGACTACATTCTTCTGTATATGTTCAACCACTTTTTTATTTCTTTTATTAATCTCTTTTCATGCAGCTTTTTTCTTCCCTTTAAGCCCACTCATTTCTGCTCTTTAAACAGAACAAAGAGAGAGTAAAGAACAAGTGATATCTGAACATTAGAAGAGATGAAAATGCAGATCAAACAATCACTCACATGCATTAAGCATTCTCACAAATTTTAACTTTATATTTGCACCTACAAACACCATAGCACACACAAAAATAGAATCATAGAATCATAGAATCGTTAGGGCTGGAAGGGACCTTCAAAGGTCATCTAGTCCAACCCCCAAATAGAAAACAAAGAGTAGATTAGTTGTTGCACTGGCCCTACTACTGAAAGGCTAAGTCAAAGTATGACTCAAATAGCAATTTCAGAAAGTCAGTAGAGGTTTAGGTAGACATTTAAAATGTAAAGGGTAAGCATAGCTAGTGCAGCTACAACGAAAAAGTGGCATTAAAAATAATTTTAATAAACTGCTGAGCAGCTTTTAGTAGCACATTAACAGCAAGTCAAATGTACATGATACTAAATTATCGTCACCTAAACTGCTAAAAACACATGTGAGGATTCTGAAAAAATCTTTAAAACAACAAATTGAGTACTGCAGAAAAATAAGAGCATGAAAAAACCCCACTTTGTTTTGCTGCAACCTACATAATAGAAACTATTTCTAATTATATATTACTGATCCTCCTTAAGTAATAGTAATCAAAGCCTATGGACTTTTAAACAAAACAAAAAACATTCCGCTGCTTAGTCTATTTTCTCTCCAGGTAATTTTCTTACCTCTTGTTTACCTGAGAACTACTTTCAGTTGATTAAGCTTCTGACAAAAAAGAACAACTTTATGGTTCTTTCAAAAAATTATTGTTGTTTTCACATAGTGCTAAATCTTCTTCCTACTATGAATTCAACCTTTCCATGCTAATCTACACAGTCTCAACACTAAATTTATCCATGACTAATTTGTCTTACCTGACCTAAAAAGGAGGGAACGAGGGCTCCCAAATTCCTTGTATAGACCATGCAGTCATACAGATGCACCTTCAGTGCTCAGTTAAGGAGAGGCTGAAACTCCAGCAAGGTTCTGAGTCTTGAACATCTAAGAGCTTGCTTACAAAGACAGTTTGACTTTTTCCCACTAGTCGGTCATTCCCTTTTTTGTCATGTATTTGCAGCACAGCACCACAAGTGTTGTGCCCATCAATGTGCAACACGTTCAATGTACCCAGTAAGCAACAGATGCTGCGTGCTTCTGCAGCAGACACAGTTTCTAGACAAAAGTATCTCCAGCCATCTCCCAGGTTGCCTAGAAATTCTGGATAAATACTCAAATTCAGAAAAATTTTACGTATGCTAATACCACTAAAATGTTTAGCCTTTAGTAAAACACATTTTAAAACTTAATGAGGTACTTTCCTAGAGTAAGTATTTGCCAATTAACCTGTTAAAAAACCTAAATCAAAACCCCTGACCCAGAAGTGCCTTTATCATTACTGCTAAGATCACTGAACTTGGTTGGTTGTTGTCCTGATTCAAAAATTTGCATTATGTTTACCTCTCAAACTCAGAAGAATCCGCTCATAAATATAATAAGCATATATAAAATAATCTTGAATACCACAGAAAATAAGATTTGATTTATTAACCTGTGCGTTTCATGAAAGTAAGCAGGAAGATACTGTTTGCTTGCTTGGTTGAATTTTAAAAGTGTAGTTTTCTTCAAGATAGGTTTACTAAAAATCTTGTTTCTACCTTTAAGGAAAGTGGTATGTCTCTCTGACAACCTCCTGTGACTATCTGTGATGATAATGAACAAATGTTGTGAAGATTTTGAAAATTAAAAAGTAAACAAGGGGAAAAAGCTTTTCCCCTACTTGTACCCACAGTATGTGTAACCCGTGATGTGTTAATTGGCACATCTATGGCACTAACAAAACAGATTACATGACAGCTCTTGTCCCTGACTTGAGATCTATAGGACAGATTTGTATTCAGCTTTCTAACTGAAAACAATGAAACAATGAAATCCTGGTATGGTAAGACCTGCTGAAATACATTCTCTGAATCACTATTAGCTTTGTAAACACTCCTTAACAAAAGCTCTTCCTATTCACTGTTAACCCAGCTCATCTTGCAGAGAAACACTGAAGCCACATTGTCATCTATAGTAGTTAGAACAGTACTAATCCACACCGATGAGCAGGGATATCCTTTTTTCAGAGTTAGGAAAAAAAAAAAAAAGGAGAGGTGGGGTTATCACTTCTCCAAAAATAATTGCTTCTAAAATTATTAATATTTTGCAGGCATCACACTATAATTTAATGAATAAACATCATACTCTTTATCAGTAATTGCAATGACCAAGATATTATACAATAAAATTCTAACAAATTTTAGTTATTCAGCTACTATTTCCCTTAGTTTTATTTCTAAAAAGACAGGAGTTCTAAACAGGCACTTCTGATTTAACAGTTAAAGAAATTGTTAAGCACTAGAGCATTTACAAGGCTAGTGTAAATCACTAATGCTGTTACTTGCTCAGATTTTCATGCCATTATTTCCTTGCCAAACAGAGCCATGCTGAAATACATTCTACCATGACAGAATGCTGGGACCTTAACTGTATTTTTCGCCATGGTGCTTACAATATTTAGCTAGGATTTCCCAAAAGGAATATTCCACAGTCTTATACAGTGAGTTAGGCTTCTTTTCTTTCAGTGTTTCTTATATATCATGGTCTTGCAGAAGTATTTCAATTTACTTGTGTTTAAGAATAATTTCCCAAGTTTTGTAAACCACATAAGATTACGATTCTATTTAAGCTTACTTAATTAAGATGAACACAAAAAAGGGCAAAAAATATATAAATGACACAATAATACTGTAAGATTTTATAAATAGGTTTTGAGCTTGCTCTTATTGGAACAATGTTTTTAAAGATAAATCCACTTCTTGACCTGCACAATTGCAACTGAACAAATCGCTGTTGATAAAAAAACTAAGAGAAATGCCACTCAGGTCTCCAATAACAGCATTCTTCAGAATGGTGTTAAATAGAAAATGGGCTGGTTATGTAAGTGAAGTGGCACACAATTCACCTAAAAATGTTCTACAACGCAAAGCGGAAGTCATCAATATTACAAATGAAAACTTGTGCTTCGTAATTTTTCTGTGAATAGGATTATCATCATGTTTATGTCTCATATTTCAGCCATATCATGGTAGCAGGGTATACACTGTGATATTCTGAGAGAAAAACAGGTGGAAATTAAAACATTCCCTTTGATACACACTGAGTATAAGCAGCTCCATGGCAGAGTCAAACCAGAGAAGAAACAACAAAAAAGAATGGTAGGAACAGAAATAAGTACCTCAAGAACTTAATGCCTGATAATCTTTCATAATTTAGAGAAAGCAGTACAGGCAATTAATATTTTAATATACAGAACTCTAGTTTTTCTCCCTTTATTATCTGAGAAACCTGTGGATTTTTCTGAAACACACTTCAAAAGTAACTTAACTTCTTAAGTTGGTCATGTAAGTGCTGGTAAATTTCAGACAGGACATAAGCCTCACAGATTGCCTTTTGTCATGATTCCTTGTCATGGTATGAATTATACTCCTTATAATGCAAATTATTATGGTGAAAAAACATTACTAACTCACATTAATAGCAACTATCTATACAGCTCAAATAATGTAGTACTTATTTTTACTCAAATGAACACAACAGTTTTGAATTAGACAAGAAATACTGACCTTCTTTCAGAAAAAGTGTAGTGTTTTTTTTAAATTTTTATCACTGCTGTTGATAATGAGCACCATATACGCTTAAATAGCTAGCATTTCCAATGACTAAAATTACAACAGTAAGAAAAAATATCTTCCTTACCTATGTATACAATTTTTAGATTCAAGATATGCCATACCAGAAGCAGCATCTAATGAAAATTTCACCAACTGTTTGGTTTTTAGCTCATCCTTCTTTTTTCTTAAAAAGGACAGGAAATCCCCTCCTAGAAAAAGACAGATGGACAGTGAGACACGATACATAGGACACTCACATTTGTCTCTCATTAAGGTTGCAAGATCAAACAAAATGCAGTTATTAGCTGTTCTACTCAACCCATCGGCCTGAGAAAAATGAACTCACTCACTCACCTTTGAAAATGCAGTTTCCCTAACTTTCCATAAATACTAGGTGCTTAAAAGGGAAAACTGCACGGCACGGTTTTTTATATACCCAAAATCTTCACCAGTGTACATTAAATTCAAACTTACATGAAAATTGTTGACAAAAACAAATTGATAATTTGTGACAAATACACTTCTCTAATAACAGAATGGTTGCTCTAGAGGCTTATAAAAACTGTGAATAAAGATGTTAGTTCCTACTAGTTACATGACAGTAATTGATTTTTAACTGATAATTTGCAGTGGTGCTTCTCAAATTCTACATCGATGTGTTTGGAGGGGTAACAAAGTGTTTTACTTCTTGGGCAACTTAACTCCACACAGCTGAAACCAGGACACAATGTTAACCACATATTTGACACTGGCAATTGAAGGCAAACAACTATTATGGTGACTTCACAATCTTCTGCTCTGGAGCAACAAAGTCACTGTTGTCTTATCTGAGGAGGAAAGGGGTGAGCATGGAGGATTTCCAAAAGTGAACCTGCGTTTACAAAAAAGAGTTCCTGAAAAACTGATTTAGGACAAAGGTAACAGTGGAGACATCATAAAAACACTGCAATGCCATGTTCTGACTGATATAACTGTATTAAAGATTTTTTCTAAAATATATTTTATCGTTATAGGCAAAGACAAAAAATGGTAGTGGAGCTTTCCACGTCTCATTATTTATTTGCTAGTGTGTAGCCAGCCATTGCTCTGGTCTTTGTTTCTTTTCACTTTGCATTGAATTGACTATTGTGATTCTCTCTTGCAAGTAATGCAATGTATATTAATTGTATAATATACAATTTTATACACTGCTTTTCTTAGCAATCTTAAAAGACACCATATATCAAAAGTTTCTCATGGGATTTTCTTAGGACGTCATTTCTACTTATATTTCATACTGTAAGAAGTTCAGTAAGAAGTGGCTGACACACCTGAGGGCTGTGCTGCCATTCAGAGAGACCTGGACAGGCTGGAGAGTTGGGTGGGGAGAAATTTAATGAAATACAACAAGGGCAAGTGTAGAGTCTTGCTTCTGGGTAAGAACAACCCCATGTACCAGTACAAGTTGGGGACTGAACTGTTGGGGAGCAGCACAGGGGAAAGGGACCTGGGGGTCCTTGTGGACAGCCATGAGCCAGCAATGTGCCCTTGCGGCCAAGAGGGCCAAGGGCATCCTGGGGTGTATTAGAAGGGGTGTGGTTAGTAGGTCGAGAGAGGTTCTCCTCCCCCTCTACTGTGCCCTGGTGAGGCCGCATCTGGAATATTGTGTCCAGTTCTGGGCCCCTCCGTTCAAGAAGGACAAGGAACTGCTTGAGAGAGTCCAGCGCAGGGCCACAAAGATGATTAAGGGAGTAGAGCATCTCCCTTCTGAGGAAAGGCTGAGGGAGCTGGGTCTCTTAGCTTGGAGAAGAGGAGACTGAGAGGGGAATCTCATTAACGTTTATAAATATGTAAAGGGTGACTGTCATGAGGATGGAGCCAGGCTCTTCTCAGTGGCATCCAATGATAGGACAAGGGGAAATGGATATAAGCTGGAACGTAGGAGGTTCCACTCAAACATGAGGAAGAACTTCTTCCCAGTAAGGGTAACAGAACACTGGAACAGGCTGCCCAGAGAGGGTGTGGGGGCTCCTTGTGGAGTCTCCCTCTCTGGAGATGTTCAAAACCCGCTTGGACATGTTCTTGTGTGATATGATCTAGGTGGTCCTGCTCCGGCAGGGGGATTGGACTAAATGATCCTTTGAGGTCCCTTCCAATCCCTAACATTCTGTGATTCTGTGAAGGTTAAAAGCTGCTCAGTTCCTTACATCTGAATGTGTCAAACTCACACAGTACAAGTTTGTAACTTCCCAATGCAATCATATCATCAGGAAGCGCTTAGATTTGCTAATTTTCACTGTGTGGCATGTAACGCATGAACTTCTAGAGTTTTGAGCAAAACCAGCACAGTATACCTCAAGTTGTATACAGCGTATTTCATGCCTATCATCAAAGCAGAGTTTTAACAAAATTATCTTAATCTGTCTCAGAATGTCGATAGTGAAAAAAGTCAGCAAAGGTTTGTTTTCACTAGCAGTTCTGTTTGCTTGTATCTGTCCTTGCACAGAGATGACAAAATGTCTTTAAAATACTTTGTTCAATACTGATTTGAAAGCATGGTTAGGTGCAGACAAAATAAAAGAGTAAAATGATATACATTCTCATTGTGCACAAGGTACGTAATTTTAGGTTAAATCTGATTATTCTCATCATTGTGATACCAACACAGGCTTAAGTGTCTGTCCTTTAACTAACAGAATTACTCTCCCCAGTAAATTCTTTTACTGTCTACTGTGGCCAATGTTCCAACTATTCATCTTCACAGGAGAGAATCCACACGAGTACCTTCGAAGTTCAGAGGATTTCACTACAAACCCTTCAGCATAGAACTGTAGCTACATAATGTCTTTACGTGCTTCTTTAAACAAGTTTAAATATAAAAATCCCTAATTCACTACTTGCAGCACATAGTGTCAGAACATTATCTCCAATTTAATAGCTGTTGATAAAAATGAAATAAACAGACCAATTAGACTATGAAATAACTGAAACCATACTAGATGTCTACAGAAGAGTAAGTAATGCTTTCTCTTATATGTAAAATTTCCATTGTATTCTACATGGCTACCTGTTATTCCAGTTAATGGCACACAACACTAACAGGAAATTAGGTCTGCTCTTACCACTGTAAGTACTACAGAAATAATTAGATTATAGTATTATCACCGAGCAGAAATCGCCTGCCTGTTTGGGGTTTACAGGAGGATAAATAACAGTACTGGAGTGTCTACCTATTACAATAGAATTATTTTGCCAAGTAGATGACAAAATGTAGTGCATAAGCAGAAGCTTCATGAGAGCAGCCTGCTATAATTGGATTCCTGAAAACAGCCATTCATATATTTCACTGTGAATGTGAACAATTTCTCATTAAAGCAGAAATTTTAAGAGAGTGAAAATACCACATATCAGCACCTCCTAGTGTTGTCCATACTTTATAGAATAAACTTTATGCTGTACGTTAAGTAGTATTTTATGGAATACAACATTTTACTTAATGGCACACACAAAAGTAAGAGGATATTTTGCAAGAAAAAAACACATCTGTGATCTATGAGAAGAAATCAAAATATAAGAACACAGCGAAGAAATATGTTAAATCAGTTTACAAAATATTCAGTAATGGTAAGCTCTGACTTTAATGGCATTTATAATTAACTATGTACATCTGTGTTCTCCTGAGCTCTTGCCCAAAATGGTACCTTGTTCTAGGAACTCTTGGCATTAGACTGACAGCCAGTACTGATACTGGCTAGCATTTAATATAATTAAAATATAGTTTTGAAATCATGATGGGAAATCTCTCACTTATTGGTACCTAGATATATAGATATACATTATTTATACATCTCTATATAGCATCACACCATTTTAATAATGTTATAAATAATGATTATACAAATATTTAAAAATGTATTAACATCATAGCAATTATTAAGAATGGTATGGATTATATATATTATTATTTACATATAAACTTTATTAAAGTGGAAGAATTTCCTTTATTAAATTCTAAAGTAGCAGTTTGTTTAAAGAGTCCACTTAATTACTCTTACATTTGTAAACACATTAGTCATGCAGATGTAGCATGCTTCTGGCCAGATCACTTGATCACAGAGGAGCTCCATGACTCAATATTTGCAATTGTTTCACAAGCTATTATAATATTATTGAAATTACTTTTATCTGCCCCTAAAAGTACTTATAAATTAGAGGATTCGTATGGTCAGTCTTTTGACTAATGTAAGAAACTGAGAGTTTATTGCCCAGTATCTTAATCCCACACACATTATCAACAAAACAAACCCAAGCACAGCTACTTAAAACTAAGTAAAATAGTAAACAGGCATCTGTAGCAATTCTAGAAGACAGTTTTTCAAGAAAGTAAGCAACTATTTGACAAACTAGTAAAAATGTAAGGGTTTAGAAATGCTGAAGCACTCATTTTCCTTAAAATAGTGTGCCTTCACTTTTCAACTAATGGATCAACTAAACTAGTACTTTCACTTTATTTATTTGTTTTTATTTTACGTACGTAGGAACAGAAACTCTAAATAAACTCAAGGTTTTTCAACTGCCTAAAGAGTACTAATGTGAAATCCACTTAAAACTTCATTTTTCCTGTTAAGCAAAGCAAATAAAAGTTGCTACAATCATGCAAAGTTTTGCCATTGTAATATTAATAATGGTAGTGATGAAGTATGAGTAGAAATGTGAAACAAAAGATGAAAGAAAAAAACACGAGTTAAAAGAATGGTGTGCATTGAGAGCCAAGGGCACGATTAGCAGCAACAAATAGGTAAACACAGAGAAGATGTTGCTTGCACCAGGACTGCAATGTGGATGACTTTTTAGGAGAAGATATGTGATGAGACCACAATGGAGATGATTCACTAGCATAAAATAACTACATTAAAATAAAATGAAGATGAGGAGAAGGTTATAACACATTATACGTGCTATTTCACTTTCACAGACTATAGACACGATATTCAAAATGAGGAAAAAATTGACAACGATTACCTTAGATTTAATGTGGATCAAATAAGCTAGAGCTTGAAGTCAATGAGCCTACTACATTAACTACTTATTCTCAAACAGCATAAAAGCCTGTCTAAAATTTAGACTGTCATAATCTGTCAAGAAGAAACCAGAAATCATAATAAGACATCAATAGCCAGCATCCCTTTTCCTTTGTGCTGTACAAAATAATCGTACCCACACTATATGG